GCTTTGCAGGTAGGTTTCTTGAAGCATCTTGGAGACGTTGCCACAGTTCTTTGCATGAACCAATCACAGCCAAATATAACCAGTCATATTGCGATGGAGGCATTGCCTCCTCTCACATGACTTTCCCCCATTCATTCTAAATTACACCCCACTAAACCCACGGCATGCTAAGTGGGTCTTTGGGTTAAATGCAGAGCACTAATTCCGAGTATGGGTCACCATACTTGGCCACATGTCCCTTCACCTTACAGTTTTTGCATTTAACAGACACTTTTATCCAAAGTCACAAGGAACAAAGCAATTTGTGAAAGAACCAATAATATTTGTAATATACAATGCCAGATTTATTGGACAGCTAGATTAAGAAGACTGCCAGTGTACCAGCTGATGAATTTACACATGGTTTGTCTTCAAGCATATTAGAAACACCAGATAGACATGTAAAGAACATTGATTTTCATTTCAGGGTTCTTTAAATTAGATTCTGGCCACAACTGGGAGCCAGGGGGTGAGATCATTAGGGGTGTGATGTGCTTTCTCTTTGGCTGAACTTCTCTTGCAATTTAAAAAAGTTAATTTTGGATTTTGGATGTATAGGAGCGTGGATCATAACCTCAGGGCTGAGGGAAGGCATCGGCAAGTGTGTAGGAGAGGCAGTGAGAGATCACTCCACCGCAGTGTCTTCTGTCAATTTAAATAAAGTGGTTCCTATAGGCATTGCTCCTTGGGGAATGGTACATAATCGCCTGCAGCTCGTTGACCCTGAGGTAACTCTGCTTATTGTGCAGTACTAGCATACTTAACACTAAATATTTTACCCTTGATACAACTGAACACATTGAAAATAAACATTCTTCTATACCACCATCACTATTTAAACTTTGATCAAAGTCGAAAACCAAAATTGTTGTATAAAATATGTACAAGTACATATTTTTTTATGAATTAATTTTTATTAACTGAAAAATATAGTGATGCTCTTTTTGAGCAAATTAAGAGGTATATGATCATATATATATATATATATCTCATATTCATCTCTGTATACACTACCGGTCAAAAGTTTGGGATCAGAACGATTTTTAATGTTTTTATAGGAGTTTCTTGTGCTCTTCAGGGCTGCATTTATTTGATCAAAAATACAGGAAAAAAAATTATATTGTGAAATATTATGTAAAATAACATTTTTCTATTTTAATATAAATGAAAATCAAATTTATTCCTGTGATGCAAAGCTGAATTTTCAGCATCATTACTCAAGTCTTCAGTGTCACATGATCTTCAGAAATTATTATAATATGCTGATTTATTATCAGTGCTGGAAACTGTTGTGCTGCTTAATATTTTTTTGGAACCTGTGATACTTTTTTTCAGGATTCTTTGACTATTAAAAAGTTAAAAAGAAGAGAAATAGAAATGCTATGTAGTTCAGAAATAGAGTAGTTTGTTAGTATGCCATTCCAAAATATCAATTTAAATAGACAAACTATTCACTCAAGAGCAAAAATCATACCCCAATTTGTAGATAAACTAGCACTGCACATTGCATTTTGCAAATGGTTCACAGTCTTTCAGAAAAACAGTGTCTTTCTCTTTCTCTTAGGGAAGTTTCCCCGCTAAGTATTTGGTCCAAAACGCTCCACGAGGCACCTGCTCTCTGGATAATAACTACAAGGCTTTCCTTCTGGTGGACGATGGGACAGAAGGACGTAAAGGTGGGGAGGTCGGTTTCAGAGGCCGCCTGGAGGATTACATTTCACGTCAGCGCCCAGGTACAAAATTAAACTGAATAGCACTCTGCTCTTCTTAGGCAGGATCCAGAAATGTTCATGATACACTTGTTTAATAAAATATTACTGATGTAGAGTTGTCTTTACATTGCTTGGTTTCATTGCAGTTATTTCACTGTAACAGGCTAACCAGCAAACCTTGGTTTAACAAGGAAGAGGTTTTGGCCACCTAAAGGTCATTTTGAGCTATTGCAAGAGAAAGCTTTTAAGTATAAAGGCAACAAAGCCGATCAAATGAAATATTAACCATAGTCAATGAAAATGAATGTATTAATGTTTAATATGTATAAACGTATTATGTTTTTTATGTATATGGTAAGATCTCTTTAATGAAAGCAACAGGGATTTCATACTCACTGCGTTTGCTTAAATATGTCATCTCAGCAGGCAGTGCAAGCATTGACATTCCTGTTCTGAATATGCTGATATCTGGACAGGTTTCCATGGTGGAGGTGAGCAGATTACAATTATATTAAACAAAACTTCCTCTGTCATACATCTGAAAGGGATAGTTCACCCAAAAAATTTAAATTTGCTATTAATTTACTCACCCTCAGGCCATTCAAGATGTAGGTGACTTTTTTCTTCAGTAGAATAGTAAAGAAGATTATGAGCTGAAACCACAGCCCTTGGTGATTCATTTAATGCAAGTCAGCAGATACCAGCACCTGAGAGGCAAAAAAGCATATAGAGGCCAGACAAAATGAATACCCTTGGCTCATGATGATATATTGAGGTCTTTTGAAGTGAAACGATTGGTCTGTGCAAGAAACTGAACATTATTTAAAACATTATTGCCTGTAATCCACAGCCTCAAGCAAACGGTCAGGAGTGACGTCCGGTTCACGAATGAATCATTCTTTTGAACTGGTTCTTTTTAGTGAACTGGATGAACCAGTTCATCAAATCACACTAAATCATCTGAAACAATTCGCGGCTCGCAGCACAGATCTACAAGGTACTCAATCAAAAGTCACTTTTGGATCTGCCTGACAGTCACTTCGACTCGAAATGAGTACTTGAATGAAGGGGCGAAATTAGATTTTTTGTTTTGTTTTGTATATGTTTCTAAAAAGATGAGCTGATGAAGTTTTTTCACTTCATATGTTTTAGCTAGGGCTGCCCTCGACTAAAGATTTTTCTGGTCGACTATTAGTCGATCATTTGAAGCATTAGTCGACTAATTGCACGTTTATTAATAAACCATTTAAATAATAATAATGAGCCTTTGATTGTCTACATAGCCTAATAAGTGCTCAAGCGCACGCATAAAGCTTGCCACAGCGCACCGGCAGAAGTAATGATTATGAATTTGTCAGGGAAAAACAGTAAGGAGGCTGCATTAACATTTTAATAATTTGATAAACTAGTGCTTTCTTTGTTTTCGGCTTAAGAGATGAAGTCGGCGACACCGACTCGTTAATTGGTTTATTTGAAAGTAGACATTTAACTTTCTATAGATATGTTTTCATATCTGTAAGTCAAGTATACATGGAGTATCACGCTCAAGTTCACAGAGACCGAGACGGCAGAAAGCGCATCGTGTTGCTTTCATTATTTTACAAAAGCACAATGTTTTGTTGTTATTATGAGTGCACACAAATTAACGTAGAGTCGCATTATTCTTATCTGTATGACCAAAAATGACAGAGTATTTTCAGAGCGAGTGAGCGCACCGGCGCCGCCATCTGTCACACAGACACTGAATAGCGCACATTTCTCTAGGTTAACATAAGATTGAGCGGCCATGTAAAGTTGCTAATACTTACATATTTCAGATGATATATTTGAGTTTGATGAATGGTAGGAGAGCGTTAGGATGTCCTGCCCGATGTATTACCACATAGACCAGCCGATTAACAATCTGTCCGTCACGGACTGCGTGACTTTGCAAATGTAAAAGTTTTTTTTCTGCGACTAATAACATTTTGGTTGACTTAAGCCTCTTCTAGTCGACTAACTGTTAGTCGACTATTAGGGGGCAGCCCTTGTTTTAGCCATGTAAAATATCAACGTTTCATATCATTATTGGGTCCTCCAGTAATATATCTGTGTATGTGACAGCGTTGCGTGAACCAGTTTGGGATCAGAATTCCTGAGGCTGTGGATACACAATAATGTTCAGTTTCTTGCACAGACCAATTGTTTTGCTTCATAATACCTCAATATATATTGTCAGGAGTCACAGGTATCAATTTTGTCTGGTCTGTGTATGCTTTTTTGACTCTCAAGTGCTGGTAGCCTCTAACTTGCCTTTTATGAATCACTAAGGACCATGGTTTTAGCTAAGAATCTTCTTTACTATTCTACCGAAGAAGAAAAAAAGTCACCTATATTTTGCACTGAGGGAGAGTAAATTAACAGCCATTTTTCATTTTTGAGCAAACTACCCCTTTAGTTGTTCTCTTACCATGATTCTTCATCTCAGGCATTAGAAATCTCTCTGAAGAATTCAATGCCCTGGTTGGTCCTGGCTGGTTCGGGTGGGCTTGCTAATCTTGTGAGCGACATTGTGGAGAATGTGCAATCTGCTCCGATGTCTGCGTTTGGAGGAGCAGAGGAGGAGGAAGGGTCTTCCAACATGGAGCTTAGAGAACGAATAACCATGAAAATAAAGAAACACTTTCCTTCAGAGCAAGACATGGACAAGCTTGTTGATAAGGTAAATGTCACGCTCTGTACTTAATCAAACATAAATAACGATGAACGACAAATTGACTTTCATTTTCAATCACTGTATAAAAATAAAATAATGATGATGTTATCTTTCTAAAGTCATCCCCTCTGTAATTTGGCTCCAAATGTCAGGTGAAAATTGTCATTTTGAACCTCCTCTACAAAATAGTGGATTACTTGGTAAATTTTAAGCCATGATATTTAATATTGTGTTTTTTTCATTCACTTATGTGATTAATTCACCTGAAAAGCAAAAAACAGTCATAATTTTTAGTTGGACCTCTGGTTAAGTTGACATGTCACAGGCATGTTTTTTTTTTAAGCACTGATTTTTTTTTCTTGCTGCTTGGCTGGCTTCTGAAAGGTTTTAAGCATCTACCAGAACAAAGACCTCATCTCCATTTATCACACAGAAGGAGTGGATGATTTTGACACTGTGATGCTCAAAGTGCTTGTTCAAGGTAGATTTAAACTGGTTGTTGCAGTGTTTGTGTCACTTTAACTTCTAACCTTTTCTGTCTACAGTGTACTTTGATGTTTATACATTTCATATATTTTTAATCTACATTTTGCTGTGTGTATGTGTTAGCGAGTAAACAGCGGGTTTCGGTGTCTACTAACCCCTATGTTGATGAGTTGAAGCTGGCTGTAACCTGGAACAGAGTGGACATTGCCAAGAGTGAACTGTTCAGTGGAAACATCGACTGGAAGGTACAGTAGAGAATTGTGAGAAATATTCAATTAGCTTCTGAACTAAGGCAAGTTGTTGAGTGTTACTGTAGTTCAAACAGCACAGCATGGCACTAAAAGGGCCAAGGTCTTGGGTTTGATTCCCAGGATGAACTGATTAAATGTACACATTGAATGAAGAGTCACTTTGGATAAAAGCATCTGCCAAATTCATAAATCTAAGTGGCAAAACAGAAAGTGCCATTCACATAAATGACTTAATGTCCTTTACTTTATTTTGTTTTCACATTTTTATGTACACTACTGTTCAAAAAGTTGGGGTCATAATAAAGAAATTAATATTTTTATTCAGCTAGGACACATTAAATTGATCAAAAGTGGCAGTAAAGACATTTATGTTGTTGCAAAACATTTCAATTTAATTTTGTTCTTTTGAACTTTCCATTAATCAAAGAATCCTGAAAACATTTCGGTTTCCACAAAAATATTAAGCAGCACACCAATATTAATAAGCAGAAGTTTTCAACAGTTGATAATAATAACGTTTCTTGAGCAGCAAATCAGAATGATTTCTGAAGGATCATGTGACACTGAAGACTTGGAGAAATTATGCATCACAGGATTAAATCGCACTTTAAATTATATTCAAATAGAAAACCGTTATTTTAAATTGTAGTAATATTTCACAGTATTACTGTTTTTACTGTATTTCTGATCAAATAAATGCAGCCTTGGTGGGCAGAAGAGAAGTCTTTCAAAAAATCTTACCACCCCAAACTTGAATGGTAGTGTATCTTTTGAGAGGTTATGGTACTATTAAATATACTTTAACTAATTGACCAACCCAACTCTTTAACTGATTGACCATATTTCTCCAAATTTCAGACTGATCAATACATTTGAGCACAGGAATTTATGACCAATCACAAAACCATTCCTTGCATTCATATTAAAAATGTCCACTACTAATCTTTTATGCGTTATGTGATGTGAATGATTGAAGTTGTTATATTTGGACATAAACAGTATGAAGATCTTGAAGTATCCATGACTGATGCCCTGGAGAACGATAAACCCCAGTTTGTGCGTCTCTTCATTGTCAACGGTCTAAACATTATGAACTACCTGACTTACGGCCGACTGGAGGGTCTTTACAACTCCATCTCTAAAACCTCCCAGGCCGCCATGCTGCTGCAGCATCTTCTGGAAGAGCGCATAAACGAGTCCAATGATCAGACGTGCCATGTCAGCCTTTATGAGGTGAGATCTGGAAATGGACAAATATCGGCAGGTTAATTAGTCTGTCACCAACTCATAGTAACACCCACCTGCAGGCAGTTTTCTGATTATTTACACCTCCAGGCCATCTAAGATGTACAAGACTTTTTTTCAGCTGAAGAGAAATGAAGGTTCCCTTTCATGGGAACTTTCTAACTGCGTCCTCTAGGTTTCCCATAGCGACCCCTAGAGGACGCAGTGTCTCATTCCCTACTCAGGGAACCATGGTTACATAAGTAACCTGAGACGTTTTAGAAGAAAACATTCCAGGATTTTTCTCCATCTAATGCAAGTGAACATGGCTCAATAGAGATCATTTTTGATTAAATAATCTTATTTCAAACAGAAAACAAGATTATTTTGCTTACCCCATTGGCAGATTATTTTGCTTGTTTCAAGCAAAAACTCGCTTAATTTTGATTTAGTTTTTTCTGAAAACAAGACAATTTTTACTTGTCTAGAAAATCCTTCTTGATTTAAGAATTTTTAGATGTTTTGGCTGGAAACAAGACAAAAAAAATCTAAGATAGAAAAGCATTTTTTGCAGTGTGTGTAAATTAGATAATGTAAGGCTATTTATTTTGTTTAATAAAAGAACAAGGTGTTCGGCAGCACGAAATAAAGCCACACATTCCAGCTTCCTGCGTTTTTTCGCCGCTACCTCATAAGATGAAATCCATACTAATAAGAATCCAGCACGTCGTCATTGCAAACTACATTGCTGTTATTGTTGTTTTTAGCGTTGGTATAACAACGCAACGGCATTGCCATAGAAACCAACGCACATTCCGTAAAACGAAAGAGTGCTTATGGACACACAAATCGGATATGAACCGTTGCAATACACTGTGTGGACAGTCAGTTATTCAAATCAGATTTCATCCGGATATGCACAAAATCGGATTTGGGCTGACTGTCTGAACGAGGCTTAAATAGAGTAAATAATCAGGAAATTTCATTATTGGGTGAACTGTTCCTTTAAAGGGATAGTTTTAATGCAAAAAAGGAACATAAATTAAGCATGTTTTAGTTTCCACCATAACCAGTGAGATTTGTTCTTGCGCATCAGTGTTCACTGATCAATGTTTATATATGTAAATAAAGCCTAAATTCAATTTGTTCATGATAAGTGATCGGGTCTCTTTAGTCAATTTGGACTCACCGGTTCCATTCATATGGATTTGTTTTATAATCTCTTTATGAATGCTTTGAAGTGTCAAAGAGTTAGTTGCATATCAATGGAAGTACAGACATTTCTCAGATTTCATAAACATCTGAAGTGTCTCTGAAGGAAATAATGCATTATTTATCGGCTTTAAGATATCGGCCAAATTTTCTTATTGGGCCGATACCGATAACAGAAAAAAATGAGCATTTATCGGCCGATACCGATATGGTGGCCGATATATCGTACATCCCTACTGTGTATATATATATATATATGTATATGTATATGTATTGCGCTAGTTTATGATTAGCTAAACGAGTTACACCTGTGCCAAATTGGTTAATTATCTGATCGTGCTCCTCCAGAACCTTGTTAATAAAACATCATGTTATGTAACAACTCAGCTGCTTGATTTTTTTATTTATTTAAAGTTTGTTTTAAAATGAAATGTTATATAAAGTTAGATACATATATGTACACTTTCATCTGCATACATACAGTATATCCGCGCCCAGCTCTAATCTGATAAATACGACTATAAAGCATTAAGATGTTAAGATATATTAAGCATTAACATATGGTTTTCTGCAAAGTTGCGTATTATGAAAAGCGTTATACAAATAAATTTGACTTGATGTTATGATGTTAATGCATAAATTAACTTTTAGCATTTAATATGATATATGTATGTATGTATGTATGTGTTTGTTTTTCAGACATTTATATGAAGTTCTGAATTCTAATATCCGTGCATCCCTGCATACTCTCTTAAAAATAATGTATCTTTATTGTTCTCTATGGTTTTATTAAGAACCTTTAACATTTATGGAACCTTTTTCACTGTGCAAAACGTTCGTTATAGTGGAAAAGGTTCTTTAGATTTTTAAAATGTAAAAGTGTCTTATATTGCATCACTACCAAAAACACACGCACACAAAACAGCCCTTTTGGAATCTTTATTATTACGAGTATATTGTGATATCTTAGATAATCTGTTCTCAGATGGAGATGTTCTCACAGCATCACGCTCATCTGTGCCGCTCTTCTCTCTCAGTGTGGTGAGGCGGTTCTGACGGCTCTGGGAGGATGCAAAATACTGAGGGAGCTGTCTAAACTGGAGATTGAGACAGCCGCTAAGCTCTCCATGAAGGAGTTGGCCACAAAGTTTGAGTGTATGGCTCATGGTAGGACGTGTGATAGTCTTTGCTATTGGTATCTTATAAAACCAGTGGTAAAAGAAAGTTGAAACTTCTCTCCACTGCAATTGTTTTGACAGATGTGTTTAGCACGTGCTACCAAACCAAAGCAAGTTATTCCGACAAGCTGCTGATCCGCAAGTCTAATCTGTGGGGTGACGCCACCTGTCTGAAGATGGCCATGGCCACTGATGCCCGTTATTTCTTCAGCAATGATGGAGTACAGGTCTGTCGGCATGCAGATAGTCACGGTTTCGTTTGAAATAAGGTGAGTGTTTTTCATAAACAGTCTTTTTTTAGTCCCTGCTGTCTAAGATATGGTGGGGTGACATGGAAAGAGGAACAGAGCTCTGGAAACTCGCGCTGACGATGATCATTCCTCCTCTCGTCTACACCAACCTCATCGATTTCAAGTCAGAAAAGTAATGTAAATTTCCTCAGTTTCCTTGCATCTTTCCTTACATTATCACTGTGCTCCACTTTTTTGCATTTACCATAATGACCTGTTTAACCCTGCTAAAATTAACTTATTGAGAAGTTACTTACCTGTCAAAACTTCTCAAACCCATCTTTTAAAATATAAAAAACTTCATACTATATATATATATATTTAAAAAAAAAAAAATATATATATATATCATCATGCCAATTTGGTAAGTTTTATATGACAGGATAGAAGACGATACAAATCAACTAATGCCACAAATCATAACAGAATTCATTAAATCTATTGCTAATATTTGCACAAATTTGACCCAAACAGAACCAGAGTATACAAACTTCTTGACATTCCAAAAATTTAAACAAAATAAAATAAAGATGTACTTAACTGTTTTTGCTGTGTTGTGGGAAGATATTTTGAACAAACAAAATTAAACATTTAATAGAACACAAACAAACGTATATACCATAAAACGTTTGACCCTCATCTGGGTCAAAAAGACCTGAACAGTACAGTAAGGGATACACTGACTTTTAATAAAAAAAATAAATAAGTAGCACTGTCTTCTCCTTCGCTGATATCAAACACAAGTAAATTGGGTTTTATTGGATACATACATAAATATTAGATCTCTGTAGACAAACATGTCTTTATCCATTATCTTCTTAAAATATTTAGCAGTGAAGGCGATCACGAGGACTCAAATAACATCAGGCGACCAACAAAAGGTCTG